TTCCTCTTAAGTCCTCCTTTGCCCTCCGCTTTCCTCCCTGGCTGCCCTCCCTGTTGAGTTTTGTTGTAGAACCAGTTCTGAAAATAGCAGCAGAGAGAACAAGTTTCCACTTGGGAGGGAGCCCAGCCACTGCAGGAAACGTGTGTTGGATAACGCAGAGCCTGTGGGACAATCAGGCACACGGCTCCTAGACACTGTGCAGCCTACCAAGTGATAGCCCCAATTAAGTTTTTAATCACTTATAATTTTTCAGATGATTTTTATTTAATACCATTAAGTAGCGCATATTGTCTGTGAGGTTTGTGTTTCTACATGGCTAGACATTGTAAGGTTTGTGTTTCTGCTATGGCTAGACTTTGCTTGATTGTGACAAGAGTGCAAACCTTTGCAGAAGGTGGAGTGTTTCTGGAAGGTTAGAGTCATGAACTCAAATGCCTGAGGGGCCATACAGGTCAGGTAAGAGGGTGAATAGTTTGCGTAAAGGCAGAGAAGATCAGTGGTGACTGTGGCAAACTGGAGCATATGTGACCCATCCTGCCCATTGCTGCACGGTAAGGACAGTTCGCAGCAGAATAAGACAGCCAGAGTTGAAATAAGACAGCCAGAGTTTTTGTCCAAAAGCCCAGGGCCAAAAGCAAGTCCTCCAAAAATCAATTCACTCAAAGGCTAATCTGTGAATTATTGAGGACTTTTTGAAGTTTGAGGTTTTCTTACATCTACTCATGCCTCTGCTCATGCCCCTGTATCTGCCCATGCCCTTGCATTGCTGCAGCCTTAGGGCACTGTTCTAGATGGGGTCCAAGATCTTAGTCTGCCAAGGGTCAGGCAAAACCAAGAGGGGGAGCAAAAATGTCTCTGCAGAAATCCTTGATTTAGTATGTTCATGTGAATTGGCTTTAGACACATACTTGCTTTTCAACGTCCTCTATAAGAGATGGAGTCCCTGGAACCAGACTTTACACTTTGTCAAGCAGGGAATCCAGACTTCAACTAGAAGCTTTCTAATTTAAAATGTTGGTCACTAATCCAAATTATTTTAAAACAGTGGTGTGTGAAAGTTTGAACACTCTGCAGTTAGAAAACCACTAGACAGAAACTTTTCTATAAAGGTTGTAGGTTTCAGTATGGGAAATAAGAAATAGTGGAGAGATTTGGATAATAACAACACCGTCTCATATTTAACACCTTATAGTTTACAGAGTACCTTTGAAAACTCTGCGTTAGTTAACTGTCACAATCCTATGAGGTTACTACAGCTGGTGCTACCATTCCCATTTCACAGAGAAAGTACTAGAGAGACTGAGTGTAGAAGACTTGGTTATTTGGTTATTGACAGGTTTGCTTGCTTAGTGCTCAGTTACCATGTGTGGCACTTTGGATACGTGATCTCTTTGATCCTCAAAACAATGTAGTATGGGTGTCATTTTAAAGATTGGAAACATGCAATAGCAACTTTAGGTAGCATTTACCTACCCTCACCATAGTGGCAGAATTCAGCATAGGTTAAAGGCAGACCGTCTCATTTTGTCCTCCTAACAGCTATTCTAGGTGTAAACTAGGTTCTCTTAGAATCCCAAGTTAAAGGAGGACAAAGACTTGCCCAGAGTCCCACAGCTAGTTAGTTAGTAGTGGGCTTTCAACTCTGAGCTGTCTCTTCCAAGCCTTTTACCCCATGATATGGTGTGCCAAGGCTCTGCAGTGTTGCTCATGGGCCACTCATTAGATTAAAGCCAGTGAAATTGCTTATGTTTGACAGTTTATATCTTCTACAACAGCAGTTTCATATGGTTCAACCTAATATTATCTACTTTATCTGCCTCCACTCAATGTTAAACTAATTTTCAGAAATGGGAAACCTTTGTGAACAAGTGGATTTTTCTGGGTTGTATGTAGTTGCATTGACAAATCTGCTAATCATTTATTAACTTAAGAAAGATTTTGAACTTGAAAAGTGAGGATGGGTACCTAATGGAAAATTCACACATATATGTCAAATTTAAGTGGAACTTTTATTTTCCAAGCACTTATTATTTCTGCCATAAATGCAGATGTTGAAGTTTTAATTGACTTTAAATGATTAATAATTTTAGGAATGCTACTTCAGTTTAATGGCACTGAAACTGAGTGATATGGTTAGGAAATTATACATATAAAAATTATGAGGGAGGGGTTCCACATCTTTCAGTAGAAGTTTCTTATTTATAGACATTAGCCTTAGTTTAACATCAGACTCGAAAATGTACATGATGTCTTGATATAATAATGATTGTAAGGAATGAAAATTAAATTCACTAGAGCCTAGTCTCTCTTCTTTTTTTCTCACTGTGCAGATTATTTTTAAAATAGTTAACGATCGTACTTTCCTAAACTTCACTAGATAGTCTTCAGTTAATGAGAAAGTTAACAGTTTGGCCTAGTTACTTACACCTTCAGTGAAGGCATGAGACATCCTTTGATACAGCCTCCATAGAAATGCAAGATTAAGTGCATTTCTTGGTTGACACATGTGCTAATTTCTTCTTTGCTCAAGTGTTAGCCCCTAAAGACACGTGTGAGATGCCTTTCTTCAAGCTGATTCTACTCAATTCCAGCGCCTTTAAGTTGAAAACCTGAAAGAAGATTTTTGAAGATATGGATAGATTACTTCCTATGAAAACACTTCAGTGATTGAGTTGAATATAAGCCACCAGAATGTTCATATCAGGTTTCTACCTGGCACCCTTCAAACTTGAACATGGTGCTCTTTCATGTACTGCATTTAAAACATGTATATGTTGAGTTTTCCTGCTGATACAGACTATTACACTGCTCTCAAAGAAAATGGGTGTGTATCTCTATACATTTTGATGATTCAAAAAACGTTTTTAAAAACTATTAAATGTTTTTCTCTTAAAAAAGAAACCTTATTGCCAGGTGTTGTGGCTCATGCCTGTAATCCCAGCATTTTGGAAGGCTGAGGCAGGTGGATCACCTTAGGTCAGGAGTTCCAAACCAGCCTGGCCAACATGGTGAAATCCCGTCTCTACTAAAAATACAAAAAAGTTAGCCAGGCATGGTGGTGCATACCTGTAGTTCCAGCTGCTTGGGAGGCTGAGACTGTAGAATCGCTTGAACCTGGGAGGTGGAGGTTGCAGTGAGCCGAGATAGTGCCATTGCACTCCAGCCTGGGTGATGGAGCAAGACTCCATCTCAAAAAAAAAGAAAAAAAGAAAAAAGAAATCTTATTGATAAGAATAAAGCCCAATAGAAGGAATTTTTTTTTTTTTTTTTTTTGAGATAGGATCTAGTTCTGTCACCCAGTCTGGAGTGCGGTGGCACAATCTCTGCTTGCTGCATCCTCGACTTCCCAGGCTCAAGAAATCCTTCCCTCTTCAGCACCCCCAAAGTACCTGGGACTACGGGAGAGTACCACCAAGCCCAGCTAATTTTTGTATATTTTTTAGAGATGGGATTTTACCATATTGCCCAGGCTGGCCTTGAACCCCTGAACTCAGGTGGTTAGCCTGCCTCAGCCTCCCAGTGTGCTGGGATTACAAGCATGATCTGCTGTACCCTGCTGAGAAATGAATTCTTTATCTCTATATCTCATGAAGACCAGGCTATTACTGTCTCCTTTTGCGTTTTTTTTTTTTTTTCTTTTGGTGCTTGTGTAATAAAATGTGTTTCTTATGTAGCTATGTACTGAGGTTAGACAATGGGGTTGGATCCTTGGGAAGAAAGAGTGTGTATAGGATTTATTATTATTTACAAATTCTGCTTTACTAAGCATAGAATTACAAACATTAGTTAGGATTGATTCAGTATCTCAATATCATTTCCTATCTTCCTGGCCTTGTTCTGAAAGATGCGAAGTGGTAAATGGAGTGATGACATTCTAAGGTTGATGTCTTTTATCATGTAGCCACTGAATATTATTGTTATCAACTGTGTTTTTCAAACTTTGATCTTGATGAACCACCCTTTATGATTTTGTTCATATGGAGAACACGTATTATTTATTTAATGTTATCTTTAAAATAACTTTTAAAAAATAGCTTACTTTTTAACTTTTCAAAAGGAAACTCTTATAACTACCATCACTGTTATGTATTCAGCTGATTAATTTCTTATTATATAAAACTGTCTTTTTAAACTTCAAGTGAAAAATAAGTCAATTTTTTAAAGTATTGCTTTTTTTCTTAATTCTAAAGGCAAACTTTGTATTACTATCATAACTTACCAGTGAGATTTCTCTATGGCAAATTAAAAATATATGTTATCTATTAAAATAAAAAAATTAAAATGTAAAAATCTATTTATGTACAAGTGAGAATCACATAGCACACTATAGAGGGACCTAAATCAAACTGGGAAAGAGTGGCTGAAAGTGAAGATGGGCCACTACTGGAAGAGTGACCCATACTGGGTGCCACCATTGACACAGGGTTTTCTGTTAAAACTTGGCAAGGGTTTGTTCCTACCCCTCACGACTCTGAGAGTCAAGCCTGCCATTCAGCTAAAGAGGCGCCACGTGGGGTTTACTGTCTTCTTTTTTCAATATTGCCCTGGTTCCCTCTTGACGAGTCCCCTTATTAACGGAAGGTGACCTCAACTTTTTAGGCCTGTAAGGATGCCGGCAGTAATGAATTTTTTATCTTCTGTGAGTCTTGCTCTAAATTGGATTCAGCATTATGCTGGTGCATATATGTAAAAAGATTGACCAATTGATATTCAAATGTAATGAGGAGGAAGGTTTACTATTCAGCATAGCCTCCTTTGTTTTTAGCCCTAGTAGGTTCTTTGCACTAAAACAATACAGCTTTCCTCTTCCCATCTGAAATCACTGTGTCTAGCTGGATAGGAAAGACATCTTTTCTAACCCACTCCAGAAATAAAATACAGTTTGTTCTGGTTTTCTAGTTTAATTTTTTTTAATGTGACTAGAGATTTGGATGTGAAATCTTAAAAAAAAAACAAAGTATTCCTTTTGAAACATGCAAATGTGTCTCTCCATCACCTAGGAAACTATTATGGGACACCCAAGCCTCCTAGCCAGCCAGTCAGTGGGAAAGTGATCACGACGGATGCCTTGCAAAGCCTTCAGTCTGGCTCTAAGCAGTCGACCCCGAAGCGAACCAAGTCCTACAATGATATGCAAAATGCTGGCATAGTCCATGCGGAGAATGAGGAGGAGGATGACATTCCTGAAATGAACAGCAGCTTTACAGGTAAAGGTCAGACCATGTTGCCCTCAGTGGACCTGGGGAAGGGGTGACAAGGAGGCTTTGGCATACAGTTTTGAAAAGGATGCTGTTCTCAAGAGGGATTTTGTAGGGTCGCCAAAATTCAAACTTGGACCGCACAGTGCTTGCAGAAGAGATGGTCCTTTCCCTGGTCTTCTTTTCATGCCCCTTTACAGGAATATTTTAACTTCACCAGAATACCTTAAAGGAGCTGGGGGTGAATGTATGAAGAAGGAAAATGAGAAATCAGCATGGTTTCTTTCTCTTCAAAATGATATATGTGTATAAATAGCTGTATTTTGTTCATTGATTTTTTTTGAGGGGGGGAACTTGCAGCATCTCTATCATTATGGCTGATTGCTATGAAGCAAAATATGAGAATGTGTTTTATCAGTGTAATGTCAGTTGATGCTGTACAGAAGGCCAGCAGGACCCTCTTATATCTTTGAAAGCAGAGATATAATGGAAGGATATTATGTGCTCCGTTAACTTAAGCAAAATTGCTATATGCCTTAAAAGGGGGAAAGATGGAAAAGTAAAATTCTAACATTATATCCTATATATGCATTCTATATTATATAGCCTATGTATTACTGGCTATATATATATTTTATCTACATTCAGGGCTGTCTACCTCTGAGCTTAAGTATGTTGTATTTTATGAAGGGTTTATTATTATTATTATTACTATTATACTTTAAGTTCTAGGGTACATGTGCACAACGTAATTGTGAAGGGATTTTCAAGGACAAGGCCTTTGGGTAAGGCCATACAGGCTGATGACTGCACAACTCCAGGGGGCACCATTCACAGGGTATAATGTGTGTTCCCTGGAGGGCAGAGGTTGCAGTGAGCCGAGATTGCACCACTGCACTCTGGCCCGGGTGACAGAACAAGATTCTGTCTCAAAAAATATAAATAAATGAAATAATAATAATAATAATAATAATAATAATGTTGTGTGTTCCTTGGGTTAGTGCAGTGACCCAGAAGAGCTCAAGAATATTTTTTACTATATGAGGATTTGACCTTACACAGTAACTCCAAATGTAACAACTGAATAAGATAGAAGTAACTTCAGTCTATAGTGTTGTGCATTAGAAGAACACCTTGTTTCTTCTGTTGTTCCTGTACTTAAATATTGTATTTAATATTTTAGAGTTATAGCTATGAATAAGTTATCCATTTTCAACATATGAGACTATCCGCTCCCATAGTGGCCTTTTCTCACATTACCATACTTTGGTTATTGATTAGCATCAGCCCTGGGGAAGGGAGAGATTACTAGACTGTTTTCCCCTGTGCTGCCAACTCTAACAGAATATTTAGGAAAAGTTTCTTATTTATGAATGCTGTCTGCAACCTGTATGGGCCTCACTGAGGTTTTTAAAATTTATTAACTAAGCTCAGAAGCCTACATTTTATCAAATGGCAATAAAATTTTTGGATGAGTTTATTTTTATAGCAACTGGATAGCCCAACATTTGTGCAAGAAGTGTCAGGTAAAGACAGAAGAGATTTGTTTGTTATCCTGGCTTGGCTCTTGGTAGTTGTCTTCTTAGGAACATTATGCCTAACTCATCCATGTATAAAATGACTTGCTAGGATTAGGTCATTTCTGAGTTTCCCCTTCTAGCTGTATGAATTTGACTCCATGGAAATTTCTTATTTTCTCAATTAGAATGGGTTAGGCCAGTGCCTGCCCTATAGTTGTAATATCTAGAAGAAATTTGCCACCTTGTACCTATGTTTTAATTGAAATCAGCTGATTTCATTCATTTAGGAATCTTCCATATGTTTATAGTAGCCCTTACCAAAATGAAAACAGATCATGAAAACATGTTAACATTTCTTTCAAATAATCTCATACTTTAATGCCTTGATATTTTGATAAATAAGAGTAGCAAATGATGGTATAACCTAAACCATAGTTGTGGTCACAGAAACAGAAGACCTTGGGGGTAGTGTGCAGCAAAACAGTTCTGCCAAGCAGATTGGGTTGTCCCCAAGAAGCTTGTGTGCCTGTATTTGTCCTTCATTTATTAAATAGATTTTTTTGGTAGAAATAAGGAACAAAGTAGAGGTAGTTGACTGTAAGTCTAGATGCAGTTTCCTATTTCTAACTACTATCAATCTCTCTCTAGAAGCCATGCCTCAGAAAATCTGACCCCATAAAATCCCCACTTGAAATCCTGGCATCTTAGAACAACTTGTGGACCCAGATCATCATTGCCAAAGTCAGTCTGATGATTAGTTTCCACACAAAACAGAAAGCTAAGTGGCACCTGATTGTGCTCCTCACGTTCTTGTCTGATACCAAGAAGGCCAGTAGGATGCACTGAGGAAAAAGTGGCCTTGAGATATGCACGTGATGGGACCTCTTCACAACGTATGGAGCATGTTGACTGTCCCCTCACTTACAACACTACACCTGCGACAGCTGACAATCTGTCATACGCTAACGCATGCTAGATCTTTCACATAATTAACACTACCCAGTCCATACGTATGTGAAACTAGTGGTGTCAAAGCATTTCATATTCTGAACCACGTTAAATAGGAATCCACCAGCCACTTTGCACGTAGAGTGACGGTGGCATAATGAGGTGTTGGTTCCTGCTTGGGCCAGCTATGATAAAGGCATAAGCATCATATCAAAATGTAGAAATATTATGGAGCCATTAAAATGATATTTACCAGGATATTTTTAATAACTTGCTGCTATTTCTATCTTAGCTGCCTTTTGCTTGAGTCTTTTGAAGAAGGTTTGTCTCAATAACATGCCTAAGTAACGCTGGGACTGTTTGCATACAAAAGATCAGGGAGCCTACTGGCCAGAAGCATCCTGAGAAGGCAGCCCACCCCTCCTTTCTGCAGTCATTGATTAAGGCAGAAGCTGAGCAGTGGGCAGTCATCCCAGATGCTCACCGTGGAACTGACTGTGAACACAAAGCAATGGGAGAGTCTTCTACAAATTATGCCCAAATTATGGGCCTAAAAAGAGTCCTTGAGAAAGAACACTTCCTATATGGGCTTAATGAAGGTAGAGTTACACTGTTGGCCAAAACACAGTTATATACACAAAGACTTTTGCAAAAATACTGTGTTTTTTAGAGACATCTTAGAAAGTGTGTAACAAGGACGGGGCACGGTGGCTCATGCCTGTAATCTCAGCACTTTGGGAGGCTGAGGCGGGCGGATCACCAGAGGTCAGGAGTTCAAGACCAGTCTGGCCAGCATGGTGAAACTCTGTCTCTCCTGAAAATACAAAAATTAGCTGAGTGTGGTGGCCGGTGCCTGTAATCCAAGTTACTCAGGAGACCAAGGCAGGAGAATCAGTTGAACCCCGGAGGCAGAGGTTGCAGTGAGCCGAGACTGCGCCATTGCACTGCAGCCTGGGTGACAAGAGTGAAACTCCATCTCAAAAAAAATAAAAATAAAAATAAAAAAATAAGAAAGAGAATGTGCAACAAATCACTACAACTAAAAAAACTAAAAGTAACAGGTTCATTCATGAACACCTCTGAGAGACATCAAAACATTACTTAATCATGTTTCTAGGCTTTTTTCTTCCAATAATCCCTGATATTCTTAAACATTAGGTTGCTGACATTTTTTTTTTTTTTTTGAGACGGAGTCTCGCTCTGTCGCCCAGGCTGGAGTGCAGTGGCGGGATCTCAGCTCACTGCAAGCTCCGCCTCCCGGGTTTACGCCATTCTCCTGCCTCAGCCTCCCGAGTAGCTGGGACTACAGGCGCCCGCCACCTCGCCCGGCTAGTTTTCTTTTGTATTTTTTAGTAGAGACGAGGTTTCACCATGTTAGCCAAGATGGTCTCAATCTCCCGACCTCGTGATCCGCCCGTCTGCACTTTTTTTTTTTTTGAGACCGAGTCTTGCTCTGTCGCCCAGGCTGGAGTGCAGTGGCGCTATCTCGGCTCACTGAGAGCTCCGCCTTCTGAGTTCACTGCCATTCTCCTGCCTCAGCCTCCCGAGTAGCTGGGACTACAGGCGCCCGCCACCACGCCCAGCTAATATTTTTAGTAGAGACGGGGTTTCACCATGTTAGCCAGGAAGGTCTCGATCCCCTGACTTCGTGATCCACCTGCCTCGGCCTTCCAAAGTGCTGGGATTACAGGCGTGAGCCACCTTGCCCAGCCTGACACTTCTTTTTTGTTGGTAGACAGTGATAAAGCATTGCTTTGGAACGTTAAGAGATAATCATTCTATAAGATCTAATGTTTCTCAAATATGGACTATATGGCAAGCACTTTGCTGAGTTCTTTATGCTTATACCAGGGAGGTCAAATACCTTGTCCAGTATCACAGAAGCAGTGAGGGAGGGTCAAAGCTGCCACTGCAACCCAGAAAGTCTGACTCCACACCTACTATGCTATTTGTGTTTTAAATCAAGTTCATCAGCTTTATGGAACCTCAAAGATTATGACTAACCGGTTGTACACAGTGGGAGATACACATAAACCTGAAAGCATGTATAATTTAAAACGAACTTTAGAAATTTTCTTTGACTTGGCTTATGTTCTTGAAGTCACCTTTAAAAGTTCCTGTGTGTGTCAGGGTGTGTGTGTGTGTGTGTGTGTGTGTGTGTGTGTGTGTAAATACTTGGAAGCTTCTGATTTACTCTGAACAAAAATGTCATTCATGTTCGTTTATGTTTTACAAACCATTTTTACATGTATCCCATAAACCTCCTGAAAATCTTGAGAGAGAAGCAATCCAGAGATTACCTTTCCAGTTTTGAGATGAGAACCCTGAAGGACTGTGTACCTGTTACACCACTGAACAATGGGAAAACCAGGTTCCCTGTCTCCCCATTCCATCTTGTTCCAGTATTCCATTCTACCTGTCCTCTTTGGTTTCAGTGGTAACCTTTAGTGAGAAAGTGGTGGCAGTGCTTCTAAATCTTTGGTAAATTAAATGAAATGTTTGTTTGTTTGAGACAGGGTCTCGTTCTGTCACCCAGGCTGGAGTGTAGTGGCACAATCACAGCTCACTGCAGCTTCAACCTCCCAGGTTAAAGTGATTCTCCCACCTCAGCCTCCCCAGTAACTGGGACTGTGGACACGTGCCACTACACCCAGCTAATTTTTAATTTTTTGTAGAGATGTGGTCTCGCTATGTTGCCTAAGCTGGTCTCAAACTCCTGGGCTCAAGCAGTCCTCCCTCCTCAGCCTCCTGAATAGCTGGGATTACAGGCACATGCCACCATGCCCAACAAAAGATTTTTTTGAAATCACAGCATGTGTCAAAGTCAAAGCCATGACTAAGGCTGTGAATTCTTGAGTCTGCCATATGTCTGTGCCAGCAGCTCATTTTTGGACTTTCCATTTTCTTTCAGAGAATGAGATTCAGATTCTGTTGAGCTGAGAAGAAGATATAGAAAGCATATAAAATAAAAACAAATACTTGGATAATTTAAAGTAAGATCTAGTTATGGAGGGATTTTTTTTCCTCCAGGAAATTAACATTACTGAGAGATTTTCCCAGAGATATTCCCTTCATGCAGTGTCTGAGAGGGAAGGCCTTTTGTTTTTTTGTAAACATGTATACACTCAGTGTTAAATTGAGTGCATCTCATTTCATATGTAGTGGCTCACCCATTGGCACTACCCTTTTCCTGTTACATCCAGTTTCTATTAAAATAGGTTAATTAAAATTTTTAAATGAAATTATTCTTTCTCCTTATCATTCTGACAGTTTGCTGTCTCCTAAGTGAAAAGTCAGTCACTGAGTTTGGACAGTTGTAGTTCCAGTAAGAGGTCTCAGTCCCAAGCACCCACTGAGCATGCCGCAGGTACCAGGCACTTTGCATGTGTTAATTCTGTTCTCATGCCATGTACATTATGCCCATTTTACAGATCGAGAAATATGTGCTCAGAAAGGCAAAGCCGCACAGCTAGAAGCAGACAAGACTATGATCTGTGGTCTGCTGTTATAACCTATCCTTTTTCTACCTATTTGTAACGTATTTGCAGGCTGGGGGCCAGGTCTGGCCTGAAGACAAAATTAATCATAATTTTGATGAAGATAGAGGTACTTTTGCTGCTGGCAGCTGCTTACTGTGGCTCACTATGTGCTAGACACTATTCTGAGTGCCTTATCCACTTAATCCTCCCCACAACCCCGTGAGGTAGGGATTGTTTTTGTCCCCATTTTCCAGATGAACAAGTGAAGGCACACAAGGTTAAGTACTTTGCCCACATTAGTAAGTGGTAAAGCCAGGATTCAAACTCGGGTAGTGAGGCTCTCCAGGGTCAGTGCTCATAATCATGACCTTTCATTTTTCACTGGTGTCATACTGCATTATTTTTTAAAGAAATTATGATTGAAAACTTGGGAGATTTTACATAACAATACAGATTTCCAGCTTGTCTTGAAAAGTAAGACGTTTGGCAACCCCAAGTCCACTCTCCTCCAGGGCACAAACTGGCACTGAGTGCCCAGCTGCCTTCAGCCTAGATGCACTCTCTACACATCTCATTTGCATCTCTGGCCTGGCACTGGTGCACGGAGGAGTATGTAGCCGGAGACTGCCCCACTCTCTGCTCATTGGCTGCCGGCAACACCTGTCCTGGGAGCCAGAGGTTCTGGTGATTCTGGAACATGGCAGGTTCAAACCAAGAAAAGGGTAGAGTAATTCCCAACTGAAGTTAGAACTTTTTAAACAATTGATTTTCTACATCATTTTTTCTTTTAGTTGGTAAGAGAACTCTTAGTGTCTTTGTCTTTAAAGTGTAGTTATTCTACCACTGGAATCTTCATCACCTGGGTACTTTAAAAGTGTACATTTTGGAACCTTACCCCAAACCTGTTTTCTGGAGGACAGAGCCAGAAATACGCATTTTAACAATCTCTCCAGGTGATTCTTTTATGCACTTAAGTGTGAAAAGTCTACTTTCCAAGATATGCCAGAAATGAATATTTGTTGGCTTCTAGAGAATTAAAGGTGACTCTTTTAATTCTTGCCAGGTTTTGAATTTATTTTGTTATTGATTGGTCATTTCAAAATTTTTCTTCTGTGTTGGCCTAGTTCCTTTCTGTTCCCTTACTTCTAGTTGATCTATTCATCTGCACTCTTGGATGTAAGTTGCAAAATTAACTCAAATTATTTAAGCAGGAAAGTGAATTTGGGGGTTCAAGCAATCAAAACGACAGGCATCCTTGATTTCAGATATGAAATCAGAGATCGGAGGCTCAGTCTGGGATATTAGATGACTTTCTCCATCTTTCACCTCGCCTTTCCTCTGTGTGCACTTAATTCTCTGGCAAGTCATGTCAAGCTATGTCAAGATGGCTGCCAACACCTGCAGCATGAGAACCTATTAGCAAATAGGCTCCAGCCTCAAGCAACCACCTCTGGCTTCATGGTTCCAGTAAATCTTCCATGTCTGACATTCAAATTTGTTTGCCTTAGATCACGTACCTATTCCTGACCTAATAACAAAGACAAAAATGATAAAATACTCCAGGTTGGCAAGGAGTACGATGTGGAGCCAGGAGTAGGTCCCCTCCTGGACCATGTGGGACCTGGAGTGGAGGGAAGCACCACAAGGATACCTGAGTGGTGCTAGCAGGAGAAGAGCAGATAGATGCAGGGCTGGGAATACCTACAGGCAGCCTCCTCAAGGGTAGTACATCTTTGGTGGTGGTGGTGGTTTAGTAGGCTTAGCATGTCCTCCATCCAGCTTTTAGATTACCTTTACTCTCATGTGTGTCATTGGGAGTTCTCATCAGAGAAAGCTTTGAAAACAGCCTTTTATCATTCTTCAGTCTGTTTTCACTAAATCAGAAATGTCTACAGAATTACTGTGGGAGATAGAAATTCGCTTCATACCCTGATTATTCAGTTTTAAAGCCCCATAGAGACTGACATTTAATATCATCGGCCTCTATAAAAATTCAACCAGAATGTCAACAATGCCATTTGGGGATACTTTGATGACATCACCCCTGATGTTTCTAGTTAATAAGAAGGCAAGGAGACTCAAGTATTTCGAGCCTTCTTTTAAGACTCAAGTCGTATCAGTCCGCCCACATGATACTGTTCTCGGGGTAACTGTCTTGGTTTTCACAGGAGCATAACTTTTTCAAAAGAGGTTCCAATCTGACTCACTGGTATAGCTCTCTCCATATTCTAAACTTTTGTATATGTTTCAGCTTAATTTACCATTCTTTGATCTTTGCCAGTGTCTACCAAAGATATTTATACAAATATAAAAATAACGTAAAATAATTTCTACAAGAATGGGTAATAATGCCACTGTGTCTGTGTTTTCACCCTGGATACTTTTTTGTGCCCAAACATCTTTTGAATAATGAAATCAAGTGATACCTATGGAATGAGGGTGCAGATCCGTCTGTGTTTTGATGGCCTTCTTAGTTTAAGAGTTTGAGTCATGAATTTGTTTCTTCTTTGACATTTCCAAGATTGTGAGCAATACATTACTTGGGATTTTTTTCCCCTTCTTCTTAAGTAAAATAAGTTTCATTGATCATTTCGATGCTTTCCAATTAAGGGACAGACATCTAAATAAAATAGGAGTAATAGTTAATGGTCAGGAATTAGGAAAGGATAAGAGCTTTTAAGAATATAGATGTGTATAGTTGCATACTTCCCAGGTATGGGTTATGATTGCTGAATACCTTTTTTTTTTCTCCCTCTCTTTCTCTCTCTCTCTCTCACCTCTTCACATGATTAAGCAGCCGATTCTGGTGAACAAGACGAGCACACTCTCCAAGAAACAGCATTACCACCTGTGAATAATAGCATCATCGCTGCTCCCATCACGGACCCTTCTCAGAAGTTCCCTCAATACCTACCTCTTTCTGCAGAGGATAATTTAGGTCCTCTACCTGAAAACTGGGAGATGGCCTATACCGAAAATGGAGAAGTCTATTTTATAGAGTAAAGTATACCATTATTTCTACCTAAATCTCTCTTTCTTTTCCCTTCTTTCCCTCTGTCTAGCAGCTGCCAATGTAAACTACATTTAAGGGATTGATCACCCACTGATGGTATTTTTTAATAAGGTTTAATAAGTTTTGCATAAAAAGGTAATTAATTCTCTACTTATTGATTCTGAACAGTTTGAGGAAGCATAAAGTTAATCATTTCCCTAAAGGTTTAGACAACTACATTATGGTATATAGAAATTATGACATAATATTTAAAGAGCATATTTAACCATTAAAAATAGTAAATATGTTGCTTTTTTTTTTCTTAATTGAACTGCAATGTCCTTATTGTTTTAAGACTTCTTCATATATTCTGGATACAATTCCTTTATCATATATGTGATTTGTATGCATTTTCTCCAAGTCCAGCTTTTCTTTTCATTGTCTCAACTATGTCTTTCAAAGAGCAAAAATTCTTAATTTTGATGAAGTCTGATTTAACAGTTTTCTTTTTAGTCAATTGTGCTTTTTCTGTAGTAGCTAGGAAATCTTTGCCTAACATAGTCAAAAATATTTTCATTTTTTACATTTTATGTTTAGGTCTGCAATACACAAGTTAATATTTTTACATGGTGCAAGGTGTATGAATTAAGATTTGAGAACAGACAGACAGGAAAGTCTCTCAGATTTATAAAACGTAAATGCTATATAGTTAAACATTTAACAATCTTTTCTGAAAAGGAAAAAAAAATGGCTACATTTTAAACCATTCTGGAAAATCTAAGATAATGTGGTTTTCCTAACCAACAGTAGTCAGTTTTTAAATGCAGTATTTTGACTGTATTATCCTATCATTGAGATTCACCATGTTTTAGTGTACCACTAAGAAAAAGAAAATGACTCATTAAATTATTTAAAAAATAAAACCACAGATTCATTTATTATACTTACAGAGATTGAAATTGATCTACTGTTAAGTCAACGATAACAAAGGGGAGGACATTACAGAAAACTATGAGAAGGATCTCAATTTTGCAAAATATGCATGTATACACACATATCCTACATCTATTCTGTGTGTACATTTGTTTCTGTTAATATGTAGATCAAGTTCTAGATGCAGAAAGTTCTAGAAGTATCTATTAACAGTTGGGTTTGAGTTAAGTAAATAACTTACTTTCTAACCAGATGTTTCATTGATGTGGGTTGTGAATTTTTTATACTTTGTGTGTGTGTGTATACACACACTTTATTTATTTATTTATTTATTTATTTATTTCCCTTCCTGAGATGGGGCCTCACTGTATTGCCTGGGCTGGAGTGCCGTGGCATGATCATAGCTCACTGCAGCCTCTATCTCCTGGGCTTAAGTGATCCTCCCACCTCAGCCTCCCAAAGTGCTGGAATTACAGGTGTGAGTCACTAAGCCTGGCATACTTAAGCATATGTTTTATAATTAGAAAAAAACAATGAAAATTAGGTAGTATGATTTTTCTAAACATATGGGAGCTAGAGAAAAGGCTTGGATCTCAGAACACCCTCTTGGACAGCTGGGTGCAGTGGCTCACGCCTGTAATCCCAGCATTTTGGGAGGCCAAGGCAGGCAGATCATCTGAAGTCACGAATTCTAGACCAGCCTGGCCAACATGGTGAAACTCCATCTCTATTTAAAAATAAAAAATTAGCCAGGTATGGTAGTGCATGCCTATAGTTCTAGCCACTTGAGAGGCTGAGGCAGGAGAATCACTTGAACCTCGGAGGTGGAGGTTGCAGTGAGCCGAGATCGCACCACTGCATAGCTTGGGTAACAGAGCAAGGCTCTGTCTCAAAAAAAAAAAAAAAAAAACCCTCTTTGAGAACCTACCCAGGAAGAATTCTGAGATAAGTGAATTAGAGCTTCTGTGCTATTTTCCAGCTAGAGGGAGGGGACAACTCATGTTTCTGTCTTCATGTTAATGACAAATGCTTTTTAAAAATAAGGATAAAAGAAGTAGTCTTTTCTTGAGAGTCAAGAAGTGTGTTAATTAAGAGCTCAACTAAAAGGTCATGTTGTTTCCAGCATTTACAAGTTATTTGACCTTAGGAACTTTAGTTTACCTCTTGCATCTCAGTTTTCTATATATATAAAAGGAGAACATGAATACTATGAATTGTACCTATCTTGTCAAACTGTTGGTAAGAATTAGAGGAGATAGAGAAACTAAAGTTCTTGGGCTAGTACTAATTAGTGATCACTATTGTTATTGTTACCATTGTCATCATCATTACCTGTGGTTATTCTGAGGAGTTTAAACATTGTTATAAAAATGGATGCCAACCATAAAATCAAAAATTTACTTAGCTTTTGCAATAAATTGCCTTTGAAATTATGTTACGTTAGTAAAGAAGAATTATGCTGAGAAAAGGGAAGGATATTTGGTGTTCCTGGTGCAGAATAATCTGTGAAACTCAGATTCTTAGAAAAGAATGTACCAGTAATTTTGTTCAAAACTAACTTGATACATTGGAAAAGGGAAGTTGGATATCTTGATGGTTAGCGGGATGCTGGCCTTCTAAACTATGGCTGGCTTTCAAGAGAATGTAGTGATTTGCCTAGTTTTTATAACTTAGCTTTTAGGTGATGTAAAGCCAGTGTTTCACTTGCCTAAGGTTTAGTAGAAAAATTATACAAAAATGTGGCTTATGATAATTATGGGATTTGTTTGCGACTATCAGATTTCACATGTATTAAGTGATTAGATACATATCATTTATATTTTTAGCCTAAATTGTATATACCGGTTACTTTGTTTTCATGTGTTTTTCATTCTAAAAAACTTCTTTTTAGGATGTCTTACATTGAATAGCAAATTAAACCGCATTAGAACCAGATCTACCTTTTTATGCATGTGCGTGTGTGTACACTCACATGCAAATATATATACATTTGTTTTATAGTTTTTGGGAAATTGAAGAAATAGTAGAAATTTAAAAGAACTTTAAAAAATCAAGCATGGATTTGTAAACCTTTGGCATTGTGTAGAAAACAAACATAAGAAGTCTTTGAAAGGAAGAGCAAATAAGACAGACTAGCTAGGGAACCTGGGATCAAAGGAATACTAGGTGATGAGTTCCCTTTCTGTTTTACTTCATTTATCCAGACTTAGAGCTAAAGAGCCAGCAACCCAGAAATACCAACAGATGGAGGCAAATAAAGCCCTAATAAAAGCCTGCTCTCTCTAGCCAAAGGATCAGGAAAGGGGCATCCTACAAGAGAGAAAACTTTTATTCAACAACCATTCTACTCTAGCAACAGCACAGAAAAACCTGTGGTCCCACGTCCCAAGGGTAGAAGCTGAGCCTTCTGTCCTTGACAGGCTGTGTGACTAGAAGCTGAAACCTCCCTGCTGGGTGGTGTCAGAAAAGGCCAAGTATAGAGCTGGCACTTTGCATCCAGGCAGTAAGGAGATTCCCCTTATTTCCACATAGATTTAGTGGAGACCGCTTGAGGGAACTCAGGACTTCTACCCCACCTGGCAGTAATGAAACACCCTCTTCCTCCCCACTGGTGTGGTGTCAGAGGAGGTTTAGAGGAGAATCAGGATTTTTACCACCATCCAGTGGTAAAGAGCCCACCCTCTCCGTATGGAGTCAGAGAGGCCAGCTTGTGAGCAATAGTGAGATAGTCCTACCCCTCCCAGCCTAGCTGGTATCAACAAAGGCCTAGTGGGGAGCTCAAGCCACCATCCCCACCCAGCAGTAAGAAGGAGCCCATTCCCCTCTCTGGTGTCAACAAAAGCCAAGTGGGGACCCCACCTAAAAGTAACAGATAACCCCCTTTCCTCTTTTCAGCCATATTAGGAAAAGCCAATAGAAGGTATAAGATCCAGACCCCTATAATGTAATACCGAAAATATACACATTAGTAATAAAAAAAATTCACTTGTTATCCTAAGAATCAGGAAGATATCAAAATGGGTGAAAAAAGGCGATGAGTGAGTACCAACACAGGGATAATAGCACTGTTAGAATTACCTAACAGATTTTAATGCAGCCATTATAAAGTTACTTCATCAAGCAGTTGTACCATGCTTAAGCCAAATAGAAAATTAGAATATTTCAGCCAAAAATAGAAAGTCTCAGCAAAGCCATAGAAGATTTAAAAAAAAAATAGTAATTTTTCAACTGAAAAATACAATAGCCAAAACAAAAAGCTTAGTAGATGGATTCAACAGCAGAAGAGAGTGCGGAGAGGAAAGAATCTGTGGACCTGAAAATAGAAATTACCCAATAAGAACAATAGAGAGAAAATCAACTGGGGGAAAAAACAAACAAAAAAACAAACAAACAGAGCTTCAGGGGCATTTGGAACAATAACAAAAGATCTAACATTTATTTCACTGGAGTCCCAGGGGAAGAGAAAGTGGGTGGTACTGAAAAGAAAAGTACTTGAAGAACTAATGGTTGAAAATTTTCTAAATTTGGCAAAAGAAATAAACCTACAGATTCAATAACCTGGCTGAACCCAAAGAAAACTACAGCAAGACACATTCATAGTCGAATTTTTGAAAACCAAAACCGGAAAAACGTTGAAAGCAACAAGAAATGACACCCTATGTATGTTAGTGAAACAAGTAAAATGACAGCATGTTTGTCATCAGAAGCAACAAAGGCTGAAAGGAAGTGGCATAGCATTTTTATAGTGCTGAAAGATAAAAGAATTAACCCAGAATTCTACATCCAGTGAAAATATCCTTTAGGAATCAAGGGAGAATGAAAATATTCTTAAATGAAAGAAAATTTGCTGCCTGCAGGCCTGCTCTCAATAAATGGCCAAAAGATGTTCTCTAAACAAAAGGAAAATTCTAAAACAAAACCAAAATTCTAAAAAAACAAACAAAAACAATCAGGAAAATAGAAGAATGGAGAAAGTAAAACTATAGATAAATAAAACGCTTTTCTTCACCTTTTGAGTTTTCTTTTCTCCCATTTTTATTGAGATATAATTGACTTCTCTTTAAATTTTCCAAA